AAAAAATTCTAACTATGCCAATATGAACTCAATGTGCTGCTAACACTACTGCAGTTTTATAACCTGATCGGTTTTCAACTTAAAATCAAATAAAATTATTAAAATTAAAGAAACACACAGAACTTTATTATTACAAGTTGAAGATTTTTATTTAAAGCATCTCTAAAAGTTTGAATTTTTTCTTATGCATTATCTCTAATAATGGACGATGATGCTAATTTATCATTACGTCTCAAAAGTGTATTATAAAGAAGCATTTGTTGACATGATGATAAATTAGTTGTACCATCGTCATGTGTTATGAGTTGATGATTTTAATAAACTTGATGAAAATGTTATTAATGGTATACAATCGTTGTTGTCCAAATGCATCAATCATATCATGTGACCATTCACCATGTCCTTTTTGTACTTATCTTAAACGTTGTTCATCTCTACAAATCGCAACTTGATCATCAAAAGTAAATAAATGAATTTTAGTTAATGCACTTGGATGAACTGTCCAACGAATTTGTTGTGCTATTGATGATGATAAATCTTGATTATTTTCATCGAAGACATAAAATTGTATACGTACATCACATCGTTCTGTAACATAATGAATATCTCCTTCTTTATCTAATACATTAACCACGTGTATATTCCATCCACCAGGATTTTCTGGTAGTTGTTTTGCAAGATCAATGCCCGAGCACACAAAAGAACCAGTAAAAATGATTACATCAAATAATTAAATTTTTTGCATTATTATTGACTATCTTTAACAGACATTCTATAGAAATATTATTTTCTGGAATGAAAAAATGAATAAAATATTGATAGTATTCAGAAATTTCGATGGCTACAGTTAACGACTACAATAGATGTGACTCTAGTATTTTACATAGAAAAGATGTGAGTGTGCGTTATAAAAGTAAATACTAGCAAGAGGAAGTATATGATATCTGTATTTTCATAAGTTTGATGAAATTCTAACGTGTAAGTTCTATAGTGCAGCTTTAACTGTTGATTGCATCAGTCTCGTGTTGATATTATACTCTCTTTCTCATGTCCAATTTGTTGCGTAAACAATTACACATGCATTGTGTAATAGTTTTTACTTTATATAAACTTCACTAATGCAAAACAGAAAGCCATTTCAGACGCGTTAATAATAGATCAGCAGTTCGACACTTAGTTTCTGTATATATATATATATATTCATAATCAATTGAGCCAATAGTATCAAATTTATACTTAACATATAGTAAAAGTAAGATAAAGAATATATATATGGAGATGATCAATCTAACTGGAAGATCTAACTCCTTTTTTTTGTATCGTTCTGATTCTACAGTATATCAACAGAATATATTTTTTTATTTCTGTTCGAAATGCAGAAATTAGAAAGGTTCTTAGACTAATGTTCGGTTATCCTACACAACAACTATATTCTACCAGAGATTTTCACTGTACGTATTTTGTATTAGTTTAATGAGGCTATAGAACACATGTAAGTTCCACATTTCAGCTCCAAAGGGACTGCACTAACAAGCTTTTTTCTGATGTACTATAGAAGCAAGACAATAAAAAATAGAATTGGATCTTCCGATGAGACTGATCATCCCCATTTATTTATTTAAACAAACTTTTATTTCAGTGGTTCGTGGACGTGATCGAATTTTTAGTTGTGGAGGCTGGCAAACAGTACGTTCAAGCTTCATGGATTTTGATCAACAGGCACCATCAGCCAATCTTTTAGCCGATCTTGATATTAATGTCAACCTGAAACCATTCTTTATCAATACCAGTGTCACGCTCGATCAGCATATTCAAGCACAAACAACAAACCTGTCTCCTTATCTAGCTACTTTATTCACATCTGATGAAAACAATGTTGAAATCGATCAAAAAGCTAAAACATGTGCATTAGCTGCTGCTTGGTGTCGACATGATCATAAATTAGCTAATAATATTTTACGTCATTGACGATTATTCACATCGACTGAATTACTTAAAGCAGTTACTATGTTAAATGCTGGAAGACGAATTCGTGCCTTTGAAAAACAACTTAAACGTCTTAAGTTCAGTAAAACAACAACAAAAGCAACTAAATTGGGTAAAATTAAAAATAATATCGATAATTTAAACAAACTTAAGCCATCAACTGAATCAGTCAGTGGTGCTGTGTCTCGACACATTCAACGTTG